GTCGGGAGGGGGGAGAGGGCCAGGCTGGGGGGGGTAGTGGTGCGTGACTGCTCTTCTGAATAAATTAAAACTCTGTAACACAGTTGTTTACACTTGAATTAAAAATATTTGACCAAAGAAAAACTGGAGCAGGACTAGAGAGAGATGAGTATGATTAACAGTCATCATTTCATTCCTCGGCTTTAGCAGGTCTGACGCTGCTAAAAATGACAGATTTTCTTTTCTGGATCTCTGAGTGCAGGACTTCAATCTCTGAACTCGTAAAGTTCTTCTTTTTTACTTTACAATGTCATTTATGAATGGACACTTCCTGGTATGTGGGGCAGGAAACATTTCCTTACTATATATGGTGTTTTTAGGGTGGTAATTATGCTGATCTCCTCTCCTCCTGCACGAGCACCTGATACGCATTCATCAGTTTATGCTGCTAATTTTCACACTTTTCCTGAAGATAGAAGAGTTTGTTGAATCTGACGTGACGTGTTCGTACCAACCATTTGTACGGATAAAAGTAAGAAAGTCAGGATAAGAATACAAATGAAAAACCATTTCTATGCATTTTGTAAGCAGAAATCCAGCTGAAATAAATTTACATCGACAGCTCGCCCCTTCTAATACGGCGTTTGCACTCGAACCACAGAGGTCAATTTTCTGAAATGTGCACGACTCCTCTAGTTAACGTACCTCACTGGGCACAGCTAACCAAAATGCTAGATTACTTACTAATTTAGATAATCTGCTAACTAAAAATACAGCTTTGCTAACATACACATGTATAAAGAATAGACGCCCCTTGGACTGCCGCCATCTTGGAAAGGTCGCCTGCTCCGCTCAATGTAATCTGTTTGGCAGGCTCACTGAAGTAACGTGTTAAATCAATCATAACTTAACCTAATTTTCATGCTCCACAATAAACCTTATACAGCTATTATATACACACAAAGTTAATTATTTTTTTTCCATCATGTTCTCTATATTTCTACTTTCAAATTTCTTAGGACCTTACTTACAGACTATGTACTTTGTACTTACTTACAAAACTGTTTTTGATACCAGTCTGTTGATAATGAATCAAAGCTGTTTAAATTGTGAGTTTGTTTGAAAGTTATTCCAGTCAGGTGTTCAGTTGTCTGAATTTTGTGCTGTGAAGGAGAGAGGCATCTTATTTTTGATCGGGTGAAAAAGTTACAAGTTACACCAGATTATTTGACACTCACTTGAAGTAATCAGCTAAGCTTAATTTGGACTTTTAATGAAATACTTCTTAAAGAATACCATCAGACATATTTCTTTATTCAAATATTAAATATCGGAAGACAAAATGACATTTGACATGCGTGTGCTATTATCATAAATACAAGAATTTACCAACGGAGCTTATTCTGTCTTGAACTATATTAAAATTTTATTTTTGATTCTTCTACCAAATGAATAAATATACATTTTGTTAAAACAGGTGTTTTCTCTTAGATTTACATTAAATATTTCAAGTTTTTATTTTCCAAAAAAAAAAACAACTCATGAAACATTATAACCCTAAATTTTTGTCTTTGTTTTGTTTTAAGAATTGTCCAACCAGCCTTTCTTCATTTTTTTCAGAAGTTTAAAGAAAGCATTTAGAGGTGGTGCAAAGCAGACAAAGTGAAAATCAAGCCCGTGGCTTTTTGAAATCACAGATGTAGGATGGTATTCAGGCAGTGTTGTCTGTGACTCATCAAACCCCAGAATGGAACGCCGTGGCTTTCAGTCACTGGTTGTTCTTGTTTTCCTTTTTGCTGCTTCCAAACAAAGCTCCTGCCAGAGCCACGACACCCAAACCCAGAATTGTAGCCACGCCTGCCATCATCACTACCTCTCCTGCTTTTTGCACCTGCAGGGAGAACAAACACAAAGATTTTACATTTTTATTATTTACTGCTGTTATGGCAATATTTATTTAACAAAGACAGAAATACGTGGTCCAAGAATGAAGGTACTCCGTGAGATGATCAGCTGAGTTTTATTGCAACAACAGGAAACACAGAGAACAACCTGGCCTGTCTCTGTACCTCTGCTTCTCTCTGTCACTGTCTCTCCACACTACTCACTGTGCCTCGAGAGGCCTCATATATATATTAACAAACACCATTCTGTCATCTTAGCAAGATTTGATACAAGGTCAATGGAAAACATAAAGATAAACGCAAGTGATATCTAAGAATGACTGTTGTTAGCAAATCTTGTTCTGACTAATCATTCTATCTGCAGATGAACAGCATGTCATGAAAATCTAGGACATTAAAGGATGTCATGAATTACTAGCTTAAACATAAAAGTATTAGATCCATTACACTCCCCCATCTGATCATTAAATCACCAATTAAATGATCAATAAAACAAAAAAAACACTTTAATGTATTTTTTTAAAACATGTTAACATAAACCTAAGTATATGTACTTTTCTGAAATCCCAACCCCAGTAATTCAAATTGTATTCCTCCCACAGTAATTACTAACCCCAAAACATAGTTATCACACAAAAGTCTTTGGATCATGTTGAACACAAACTGAATTGTCTGTTTTGTTGTATGGAAGGGTCAGAGGTGGTGGTGGGGCTCTGTGACTCTTTGTAGATCTTGGTTTAGTTCGAGGGGCTGGATCTGGGTGTGGTGTTTGTTTCATATTAATCTCGCCAGGTTCTTTCATGTTGTTAGTAAAATCCATGAGGGGGCATTCCACTTGCTGTCCTGTTGGGGTCTCAGAGTCCAAGAGATCCTCTGTTTGTGATGCTGATGAATCCATGAGTAGTTTTTCTAAATATACTCAGGTTCATTTGATTCACTAATTTCTTATATGCTTTGAAACAGAAACAAAAATATTTAGATATGTTTCTCATTACGCTAAGGCTTTGATTTGTGAAACTGCACACATTGTGGTTTCACCTATTGCAACGGGGGAAAAGAAAGTCTCACTTTTAATTTTAGGGTTTTACATATCAGGACATAATAAAACTGGACTTCAATTATTCCAATCTAACCACAAACTGCATGAATCAAGCTCACACAAGATGGCTAATTATGACTATCTTGACACGCTAGCTTCTCTCCCATGAAAAACAAGCAACAATTTGTAGTTACCTAGTTATTTATTAATAGTTGTCTCTGGGTTGGAGACAACTATTGTCATCGTCCTAAAATAATTGCTGAAGTCCTTAGTTGGCAAAATTGAGTTGCACAATTATTTTAGGAAGGTGTCGCTATAATGGGCTGCTTTAACCAGTGACGAAATATCTGTTGGTTAGTTAACTCCCAGGAACATCACAAGCTTGAGGACGCATTGGCAGATATGTTTATTCAAACTATAAAAAAAAACTAATACTAGAACTAATAAAAACTAAACTAAACTAAAACCAAGCATTAAAAATGCAATAATAACTAATAAAAACTAGCAAATCCACTGTAAAAACTAATTAAAACTAACTGAATTAAAAGAAAAAGTCACAATGAAATAAAACTAAACTATAATAAAGAAAAATCCAAAACTATTATAACCTTGTTCCTCACAGCTGTCTCCCTGCAGAACCTGAACCCTTAAGGCCACACATTCAACAACCATGTGCACTAAACCCATATCAACTGCACTCTTATCAGTTTGCACAAACAATTATTCACATCCTGTACAAACAGACTGTTTACTTTGTCACAGATTAATTTAGACAGATACTCTCTCTATTTATTTAGGTCTTGCCTGTTTAAAACCGCATTATTCCACATTCAACTATACAAACCTAAGTTCTGTTTAGACAACAGAAACTTTGTTCCCAGACTGACTGGAAGCAACAGTTGCTCCTCTAAAGTTATTGTTGATGTGTGTGGTTACTGGTCATGCACAGAGGGTAGGTGTGATGTAACTTTTGCATATTTTTATGCACAGTTCAACAGGTGTAGCTCCTGATTTCGGTATAATGAGGCAGATGTATAAACAGGTTTGTATGTACAATTATAGAAGGTAATTGGTTACCATACCATGGTGTGTCCATTGTTCATTGTGTGTGTGTGGGGCTGTAGAAACTAAAGAGGGAGTGGACACAGTTCTAGGAAAGAAGCTGTTCCTTAGTTTATTGGTAGGAGAGATTATTGTCCTGAACCATTTGCGCGATGGTAACAGTTCCTAAAGCGGTTGGCTGAGGTGTGCGTGTGTAAATGTTAATGGTATTTTTTCCTCAGACTGTCCAACATTAGGAGCTCTAGACCAATGACACGCTGGACTATTTTCACAACCCTTGTTACGTCTTTGCGCTCACTATTAAAGGTGACCTAATATGGGGGTCCTAAAACAAGTTAGGATCCATCTGTGGGCTCTACAAAACATGTTCGTTTGATTTAATTCACAAAATTAATCTCAGATAATGAAATTTCACCTTTTCAGTTCTGCCTGCTCTTCAGCTCTCTTCAGAACCTGCTGCTTTGCATGAGTTGCTATGGAACCCTCCTCCCAAACTTTTGTTTACGTTAGCTCCGCCCCCCGCCAGAAGTTTACTTTCTGTTTCTTTTCAGTAGAAAGTACGATTTTTCCAAAGTAGTTCTTGGTGAAATTATTTACACAAACTTTCTTTAATATTGCTAGAACATAGCCATCAAAAATAAAAACAAAACTGAATAAAAATAAAATTAATCCACACATCTCTGTTCTCCATGACTGTTCTAAAACAGCAGAACCGTCCTGTGAGGAAGTGGGCGGAGTCTCTGCTTGGGTTACCAGGAGAGGAGCTGGGCTCAGGTTGGGGTGGGCTGGAGTGCGACTTGTGACATCACAAGTAGCGGTGTTTTAAAGCAGGTCATTTCAAGACACAGAAAAATACATTTACTTGTAGTAAAAATACCTACAAGTGCATTTTTATTTGGTGCTTGGACTGTTTTTAGAAGCAGTACTGACCCAAATGTAAGTAAAAAAAACCTGAAAAAACTGAATTTTGCATATTAGGTCCCCTTTAAGTAATTGAGTATTTAACATGACCGACTTTTGTGCTTTTGTAGCATCTTTTGCAATACTCTTGCACAGCCAGCTATCATTAATAATAAGCAGTTGCAGCGACATAGGTTTGTATTTTGTGTCGTCTTTTTGTTGCCTACCTGCCGGGACTTGGCCTTGCCGTAGCGCAGCTCAGTGACAAAGTGCTCACAGTTGCCTCTGAAGACGCAGTACGGCAGCTCCTGGCCAATCGCCGAGCAGGCCTCTCGCACAATGTCGTGAACCGGGCGAGGTTTGTACTCTTTGTCCAGGATGTTGTTGATCTCCCACCGGTCGGTCCCCACCACGTCCCACAGCTCATCCCTCTTAACAATGGCCTTTTCACTCAGGACCGACATCAGACTGCTGGACCCTGCACTCGCAACCTCGGCTGAGGAAACACAAGCAATTAAAACGCGTGAGGCGCAGGGCAGGGTTTGTTTAGTGGGTTTGTGTTGTCTAGGAATCATTTTAGGATTACAAACATTCATTTTTTTGTCTCTGAGGAGCCCACAGAGCAGTGAATGTGTAAACTGGCATAAGCTGCTTTTTGTTTCAGCCTGGCGTTTGGGATGCAGTTGTGTGTCTGTATGTGTGTGTGTGTGTGTGTGTGTGTGTGTGTGTGTGCATGTGTGTGTGTGTGTGTGTGTGACTCACAGGGTGGTGCCAAGTGAACAACGAAGCCGTCACCTACATATATAGCCCAGTGCTGATAGGAGCCACGGAAGATCTCAATCAGGTCCCCGGGTTCTGGTTTCTCATCGTACTGAGATTTAAAAACACAGACAGAAAGATGTTTAACGTTGCCACAGACTGCGTTTGCTCAATATCTGACCAGAGGAATGTGAGGTCAAACAAGTCCTTTTTACAAGACTTTCACTTGAAATAAATCAAAACACATTCAAACTGTATATAATTTAAAAGTTCATCATTTCCTGAAGAAATGCTGCCTTTAAGTCCAGAGTTTTAGACTATTTTAAATTACACTTTAGCCAGTTAAGTCAAACTTCATGCGCAATCTCATGCAAGTTGACAAGTTTTAATGACTCTCAGCTAATATCACAATAAATTTCAGCTCAGTATCTTTAGAATCAGCTGAGTTGTAACTATTTTTGTGTTGACTTTTGCCCAACTATACCAACCATCTTGAGTCAGACCGACTCTAAATGATTAATCAGTTGTAAATACACATCCAGCGATTTCTCTTGGAAAGTTTCACAGTAACACCCACTATGGCTGTGGTTCCCAAGGTTGGGACCCATCATGAAAAGATTTTCTGAATTAAAAAAAGAAAAAAATTGTGTAGGTCTTCCGGACGGGTTCTTCTGTAATGAAACGTTTCATCTCTCCTCCAAGAGACTTCTTCAGTCTGAGAGTTTCAGGCAAAATTCAGGCTTTTAAGCACTGCCTCCATGTGACTGATACTCACATCGCATGGCTATAGTTGACACCTAATTAACACTTATTGTTAACAGGGGGTGGAGTGATACTGGCTATAGCAACACTGTAGGAGGGAGACAACTGAAAACAGAGGCCTCCACCTCTGTTTAATGATGGACGGTCTTTCTTCACAAAAATGGCTTCTTTTACTCCTCTCTCAAACCAACGTTCCTCHCTATCAAGARTGAGAACATCCTCATCTCTGAAAGAGTGACCGCTGGCCTGTAAATGAGTGAAAACTGCAGAGTTCTGGCCATTAGATGTAGCTCGTCTGTGTTGGGACATTCTTTTGAACAGTGGCTGCTTTGTTTCCCCGATGTATAACTGGTCGCAGTCCTCCTGGCACTTAACAGCATATACAATATTGCTCTGTTTGTGCCGGGGCACCGGATCTTTGGGGTGGATGGTTAATTAGGTGTCAACGATAGCCATGTGATGTGAGTATCAGTCACATGGAGGCAGTGCTTAAAAGCCTGAATTTTGCCTGAAACTCTCAGACTGAAGAAGTCTCTTGGAGGAGAGACGAAACGTTTCATTAGAGAAGAACCCGTCCAGAAGACCTATACAATTTTTTTCTTTTTGATTTTTTACCTGGATTACTGAGATGCATCAGGACATTTTCTGGATTACAACTAACAACAATTTTTTTTGCCATTGTTGTTACAAAAGAGCAAAGTTAATAGACTTAAAATGGACAAAAACAGAGTAATAAATATTGTTACTATGCTCGTTTATTTGACGTGAAAACAATGTTTGTCAACCAACAACAGTTGGGGGCACAGGCCTCTGCTGCTGGTATTTTGTGGGTCAAAAGCTGAAACGTTTGGGAACAACTGCACTACGGGGTTCATGCGATATTTTGCTAACAAACAAGGTTTATTCCCAAAGTCGATGCTGAAGTTTTAAAGCCAAGATTTTTTTCAGTGGGTAGCATTTGCTGTGCAGTGGTGGGCATGGTTCTAATTAGCTAACAGCTAATAAGCTAGTTTTTCATCTAACGAATTAGCTTTTTCACTTACTTAAAAAATGTTTTAAATTGGATTTAGTCAACTTTAAGTCCGCTAACAGCTAACTAACATCAACAGGTTTGGGTCAATCCCACCAGTCTTTAGCTCCAAGGTGAAGAAGACACGTGACACAGCTGAGTGACTGTCGAAGTTAGCGATTAGCTTTTAGCGTTAGCTCACACATTTTTTTAGTTCATATTTAGCTTTAGCAAATTATATTTTTAGTCAGCTGATTATGTGTTAGGGAAGGTAAATTTTTGGTTTGCTGTGCCCACCATTGCTGATGTGAATCAGTCACAACCACACCAAGTTTTTAGCTCAAACATTTACCAAAGCGTGGTGCATTTTCTGTTTTCTGCGTGTGGTGGCCATCTTGGCTTACAAAAGTAAAACTAGTTGTAGATGTACATGCATTGATCATTTCCTGAAAGTTGCATAAAAATCCATGTGTTTCATAAGCATTTTTTCTAACAAACAGTTGACTCCAAATTGGCAAAGCTAAAAGGACATTTTGGGAATCACTTCTCAAAATATACGTTGGGGATCATTCTCAGCTACTACAAAAATTTGAGGTCATTATCTGTAAAATTCAGTAAGTTATAGCTTTTTATTTTTGTTGTTGTTTAACAACAGTTGGCTGTGGTGGCCATAGTTAAATAAATTGGCTCCAAAAATCGATTCCAGCCACCGATTCAGGAAATGACTAAAGGGATATTACAACTAATTTTTCACGACCTTGAGCGTGTTTAATTTGATGTAGCTCAAAAACCACAACACCTGGACTCTTCAAACCAAGACTAGATTATTCTACACTAATTGCAGAATATTTAAAACTAAGTTTGAGCTTTGGGAAAGCTTTTTCTGATTTATGAAACTTCAGCAAAATTAGTTTTTCATCATTTTTTAGGCTACGGGACCACATTAGACCTGGTCCAGCTCAAAAACCACAACACCTAGACTCTTCAAACCAGGACTAGATTATTCTACACTAACAGAAGAATGTTTACAAATAAGTTTGGGATTTTTAAAACCTTAATCTGATTTGTGAAACTTCAATAAAGTTGCGATTATGACACTTTTTATGCATCTGGACCACACTTGTACTGGTCCAGCCCCAAAAGTCTTCTAGACTTTTCAAACCAGAACTAGAATATTCTACACCAATAAAATTATGTTTAAAAACAACTGGGATTTGTGAAACTTTTTTTTTTATTTGTGAAACTTCAATAAATTGCCTTATTACATTTCGGTCTGTGGAACTCTAGAATCGAACTCATCCTTCTTTCAATTTAGCATTATTTGTTTTCATTTCAACTTTAAACTCACTGTTTTCTGTTGAAGTTTCACAAATCAGAAAAAGGTTTCACCACTCCCAAACCTTTTTTTTTTAATATTCTTCTATTAGTGTAGACTAATCTAGTTTGAAGAGTCTAGGTGTTGTGGTTTTTGAGCTGGACCGGGTCTAATGTAGTCCCGTAGCCTAAAAAATGATGAAAAACAAACTTTGTTGAATCTTCTGGACGGGTTCTTCTCTAATGAAACGTTTCGTCTCTCCTCCAAGAGACTTCTTCAGTCTGAGAGTTTCAGGCAAAATTCAGGCTTTTAAGCCCTGCCTCCATGTGACTGATACATCGCATGGCTATCATTGACACCTAATTAACACCTATTGTTAACAGGGGGTGGAGTGATACTGGCAATAGCAGCGCTGTAGGAGGGGGACAACTGAAAACGGAGGCCTCCACCTCTGTTTAATGATGGACGGTCTTTCTTCACAAAAATGGCTTCTTTTACTCCTCTCTCAAACCAACGTTCCTCTCTATCAAGAATGAGAACATCCTCATCTCTGAAAGAGTGACCGCTGGCCTGTAAATGAGTGAAAACTGCAGAGTTCTGGCCATTAGATGTAGCTCGTCTGTGTTGGGACATTCTTTTGAACAGTGGCTGCTTTGTTTCCCCGACGTATAACTGGTCGCAGTCCTCCTGGCACTTAACAGCATATACAACATTTTTTTTTACCTGGATTACTGAGATGCATCAGGACAAACTTTGTTGAAGTTTCACAAATCAGAAAAAGCTTTCCCAAAGCTCAAACTTAGTTTTAAATATTCTTCTATTAGTGTAGAATAATCTAGTCCTGGTTTGAAGAGTCTAGGTGTTGTGGTTTTTGAGCTGGACCAGGTCTAGTTTGGTCCAGTTGTCTAAAAAATGATGAAAAACAAACTTTGTTGAAGTTTCACAAATCAGAAAAAGCTTTCCCAAAGCTCAAACTTAGTTTTAAATATTCTGCAGTTAGTGTAGAATAATCTAGTCTTGGTTTGAAGAGTCCAGGTGTTGTGGTTTTTTAGCTAGAGCAAATTAAACACGCGCAAGGTCGTGAAAAATTAGTTGTAATATCCCTTTAGTCGTTTCCCGAGCCGGAAGCTGGAATCACTTTCTGTAAGTTTCATTGAAATCCAGTGGGCCATCAAATATTTTGCTAAGAGACACACAAACGTTGTCCAACCTTCACCTTCTGGTTTTGTGTGATGAGAATAAATAGAAAGCATGTTTGAAAGCATGAATAACATCTAAAAATAAATCTGAGTGCCCTCCTTACCAGAGTCGGGGCCATGTCAGGGCTTCACGGTTTCTCTTTCTGATTTCACCTTCAGAAACAAAATGAACATTTATTTTACTCTAATTCTAATTAAAGCCCATAAATAAAATAAAACTAGAGTGACAGCTTGTCCCTCCAGCCCTTTACATCAAATCACTGTTTCCAAATAAAACAAAACACTCAACAAGCAGGTGTACACAGCTGTGACGTCATTATTTACAAATAATGTGCTTTAGCAGAGCAAACTATCCGATCTTATAGCTTTAGCAAACAGAATCAGACGCATAAAAGATACAGTAAATAAAAAAGGGGGATCAACGCGAGCTGTTAGCTGGATTATTGTCCCGAAATTATTTAAAATCATTAAAACAACCATCCGATGGCTCTCATTCTGCTCTGAAAAACGCATCAAATTCACAACCTGGTTTCAAATGACTGATTTTAAAGGTTATGTCGTCTTACCCTGTGTTGTTACTGACGAGAGGATGTTTTTTTTTTCTTTAAACAGACTGCAGAGAGAAACGTCAAAGCGCAGCTGAGAGAGATCAGCTGATTGGTCGGATCACGTGACCTCCCGGATTAACATAAAAAAAAAAAACCAAGAGTCAAATATCAATTTGTTTCTCCACCCTATAAGATCAGAGAAACGTTTTTAAAAGGGCAACACCAAAACTGCTTTGTTATTTTGACGTCACCCTGAAAACACAATCTTTAGTGGCCTAAAATATACTAAAAACAAACGTGTTTTGCTTGATTTAACTAATCAAAAAAGGTAGAGAAATAGTTAAAGTTATACTAATTTTATTCCGAAGATCTATCTCTAACGATTTAGTCATTTTTGGCCCAATCTATTTAAATAAATTTCATTTTTTTGGTGTAAAATTAAACCTTTTCAGTTTAAATAAAATTGTTTGGATCATTTGCAACACAAAGACGTTTTTAAATGACAATCGTTGCAGAAGTCAGGTAAAAATGAAAACATGTTGGTGAGAACGGTCAGCTGTAATTCAGAAGGACTTTATTTTAGACTCTGCTGATGACGTTGCTCTGAGAACACAAACCAAACAGGTTGGACCAGCATTCATGCAAAGAGGTTCTTGGGCATTTAATTGTTGTAACATTTAAAGCAGGTTATGCTGTAAAATCAACAGGAGGGAAATATAAATGATTCAGTTCACTTGAATTGAAATGTTCATACTGTATCTATGGGTGAATGATTAATGTGTAGATGATTAATAATGTGTGTCTATGAAGGCCATGTTCCAACATGATGAACAGACTCTGACCTTTGTTCACGTTTAGGGTGACTGAGAGCAAATTTCAGAGATGAGTCACTGTCTGAGTTAGAGAGCTCATTTTTCTCTCTGCTGTTTGTTTTATGTGTGTCTTCTTTTGCTTTTGCTTCATTGTATCCGCTGCAGTTTGGGCATCGTGGTGGATGATGTCATCATCTACCTCCTGCACTGAGCTCTGACCCACCTGGAGCAGCCTGGAAGCACTGTGAGGATCATGTTCTTTGATTTCTCCAGTGCTTTCAACACCGTCCAGTCAGGACTACTGAGGGACAAGCTGGAGTTGTCTGGAGTGGACCACCACATGTCCTACTGGATACTGGACTACCTCACGGACCGCCCACAGTATGTGAGGACACAGGGCTGTGTCGCTGGTCTATACAGGGGCTCCTCAGGGAACAGTGCTTCTCCATCAACACCCCACACGGCCATCTGCAGACATTTTTCTGATGACTCTGCCATAGTCGGCCTCATCGCAGGTGAGGACGACTCAGAGTACAGACTGGACTCAGGACTTTGTGGACTGGTCCCAGAAGAAGCACCTCCTGATCAACGCTGCCAAAACCAAGGAGCTGGTGGTGGATTTCTGCCCCACTGATACAGGTGAACATCCAGGGAGTGGACAATGAGAGAGTAGACTCTTATAAGTACCTGGGTGTTCACCTGAACAATAAACTGGACTGGACTCACAACACGGACGCTCTTCACAAGAAGGGTCAGAGCAGACTACCTGCTGAGGAGGCTGAGGTCTTTTGGAGTGCAGGGGGCGCTCTTGAAGACCTTCTTTGACTCTGTTGTGGATTCAGCCATCTTTTATGGCATCGTTTGTTGGAGCAGCAGCTTATCTACAGCTGCGAGGAAGCGGTTGACTAAGCTCATCAAGAAGGCCAGCTCTGCGCTGGGATGTCCCGTCGACCCAGTACAAGTAGTGGGAGACAGAAGAACTCTGACTACAATATCATCAATGACAGAGAACGTCTCCAGCCCAATGCATGGAACTGTAGCTGATCTGTGACAGACTGCTGCATCCTAAATGCACAAAGAAGCGTTACTGAAGATCCTTCCTCCCAGCAGCTATTAGACTCTATAACCAACACTGCTCCCAACAAACTCAATAAGCATCCATGCTGTGTTTGCACATTAACCAACTCTGCTCTCAGTCATTATATAAATAATACTCTGTGGTTGTTGCACATTTATTGCACTACATGAGTTTTTCATGACTGTTTTCTTGTAATTTTTACATGTGGTCACATATTTTTTGTATTTTCAATTTTATTGTGTTGTACAGCATTTTATTTTATTAATTTCTAATATTTTTAATATTTTTATTTTAACTCTTTTAATATGTTCTTGCTGAGAAAGGCCATAACTATAAACATATACAATCATAATAATATCCTTAGTGGACATATTGAAGTAAAATAATAAAACATGTTTAAAAACACAACAATTTGTCATTACATTACAAAATAACTCAAGTGATTGTGTGGCTAAACAAACTAAGGTAAAGATTGCTAAAATTATTATTTTTTAAATCAGATTTTCTCATGTAGTTGCAAAAGTTAAGGCAATTTTTAAAACAATTTTGTTTTAAGAATAATTTAAAGAATGTCCAAGAGAGTAAATATGTTGTTTTCCATCAAGCAAAAAAAGAAAAAAAAGGTAATGAAATTTATAAAGTAAGAGGAGCATAACAAGGCTTTTATTTTTAAACATCCTATTTTTCTGTTTTAATTTTTTGCGTATCCAGTTTATCTTTGGCGTTTATTTTTTCTGTGTTTGTTCAACTATACTGCTATTGATTTTGTCATTTGCAATTGTGCATATACGTCTCCTTGTTTAGACTTTTAAGACTGCAGATGATAGAAATGTACAATTGTTTTATAAATGCTATGCTGCCATTATAGCTTTGTTAATAAAGTTAAATTGAAAAAATATAAAAAGGATACATAAATTACATAATATAAAGCACAATTTGTTGGTAATTTAATTATTAAAGCTGAATAATCTGTATAAGGTAACATTGAAAAGTCCTTTAATTTTGGAAAAAATATATACTCGCTCCGACCACTAGGCGTCGCCAGTGACGTCACACAGTGAATATCGAGTTTCCTGTTTGTAACGGCGAAAAAGCTCTAACTTCCGGGAATCAACCGATCCGTTTGTTGAGTCGTGTCCCGAGGTTTTACTATAAAAAAAACAACAACAAAAAGCTGCTCTACCCCCACATATTGAAGCTCGAGAAGTGAGAGGTTTAATGTGAGGCATTCGTGCTAAAAGAATCCAACATGTCGGTGGTTTTTGACGGTAGTCCGCTGAAAGCGACTCAGAGCTCTCAGAGCCACACCGCGCAGACTCAGACCGGTCTGAGGTAAGAGGCACTGACAGCTGCTCATCACCCAAAACTCTTCCAGGTTTTTGTGTTTGGTACTTAAATAATAGCAGCAAAACAGTTAATATGATGCTACACTGTCCTGTGATAACAGCATGTTAATAGATCTTATGATGGTGAGTTTTATTTGTCATGATTAAACCCATCCATTTAACTTTCACACAGTTTACTACCTGACTTTACTCCTACCCAGAGAATGACAAACAGCTCTGCTTGTAATTGTAGTAAATCGATACAAATCAATCGCTGCAGTCAATACACAGCTCTGAATTTGTGATTTTAAAAATTTTATTATCACAAATATATACTTCATTTTCAATATAAAATCATTTTTACTTTTTTAAACAATTGGTGCGTTTAGACTTCGTTGTATATCTCGTGGAAGCCAGTTTTCTCACTTTTCATCTCGTCCGTTCTGCAGCTCTCAGGAACTTTCCCAGGAGATCAAGTCCTTCATCAGCGGCGTCGACGCCGCTCAGGGCCGGAAGCTCAGCGTCAGGGAGCACGCCCGCTGCGCTGTGCGGCTGCTGCGCTCGGTCCCCGCCTGCCGAGAAGTGGTGCTGGAGCATTTGAGGGGCGTGTACAACGAGCACGTGTCCGCGTTCCTCCACAGCCTGGAGACGGACGGCAGCTCCAGCTCTGGAGGGAGCTCCAATCTGGAAGACATCATACAGGTCAGAATGAACTTGAAAAAATGTTTTATTAAATATTGAGTATCGTAGATAATCAAATGGTTACGTCTTTTCTTGTGTGTAAGGAGGTTCATGGCGTGCTGTCGGAGTTCATCGGCCTCAACCCCCGAGCCTGGGCCCCCCTGGTGTCCGCCTGGGCCGTGGACCTCCTGGGACAGCTGAGCAGCAAGCACGCCGAGCGCAGGGTGGCCCCCCACGCCTCCAGCCTCAACGAGCTGCTGCAGCTCTGGATGTCCTGTGCCGCCACCCGCTCCCTCATGGAGGCCTACTCCCAGTGCCTGGCCGCCATGCTGGCCTGGTGCCCCGACGCCTGCGTGGACGCGCTGCTGGACACGTCGGTTAAACACTCGCCGCATTTCGACTGGGTGGTCGCCCACATCGGCTCCGCCTTCCCAGGAACCATCATCAGCAGAGTGTTGGCGTGCGGGCTGAAGGACTACTGCTCCCACGGCGCCAAGGACCAGGGCCTGCTGGGGGACAAAGGGAGCAGGGTGCCGAAGATCGGCTCTGTGGTGGGGATCCTCGGACACCTCGCCGCGCATCACTCTGAAAGCATCAGGAAGGAGCTGCTCAGGATGTTCCAGGAGAGCTTGACTCCGTCGGCGACTCTTTCGTCCGCGTCGTCCTCGGCGTCCTGGGAGAGTTCCCCCCAGCTCCGGCGAGCCGCGGTTCCCTTTCTGCTGCAGTTGGCCGCGATGTCTCCGAACCTCTTCGGCGCCGTGTCTGCGGAGCTGGTGGAGCTGCTGAGGCCTCCTGTTCTACTCCAGCTGCAGGCTCTGCTGCAGGGCCTCCCCAGGGAGGAGCTGGACAACCTGCTGGGGCTGGCGGTCCACCTCATCAGCCAGAGCCCGTCAGGCGGGGCGCGGGTCCTCAGGTTCCTGGCGGACACGGCGACTCCGGCTTCGGTCATCATCTCCGGCCCGACGCCTTCGCCTCACGAGGGAGTCCGAGAAGGCTGCGACCGCCTCCTCCAGACGCTGCTCCTGCACCTCCACAAGCTGGTCTTCAACCGCTCGGACGGAGCAGAGGTCAGCCTCCTGAACCCGTCCTCCTCTCAGACTCAGAGGGTCATCCCCTTCCTGGAGGAGCTGCGCTCTCACGTGGGTCAGCTGTGCGCCGAGACGCTGCGCCTGGAGAGGAAGCGTCACCTGTGGCTGCACCAGCTGCTGTGCCTGCTCTCAGTCTACGGGGGTCCCAGCGTGGCCACGGAGACCCTCTGCCAGCTTCTCACCCAGGCCCGTAACCCGGAGGAGCTGGCTCTGGCGTGGCAGCTCCACACCACGCTCTCCTCCTGCATGGTGGGCCTCATCCCCGCCGCTGTGGCCCACTGCGTGGCCCAGATCCACACCCACACCTTGGGGCCGCGGCAGCTGAGGCAGCTGCTGCTGAACCTGGCCGCGGCCATCCAGAGCCGAGACGAGGAGAAAGGAGGAGCGGCGGGAGCACAGTCCTCCATGGCCGTCCAGGTGGGCTCGGCCGTCTCGGGACACCTCCACGACTTCTGCTCGCTGCTCCTCCACGGCGACACGGCCGTGTCCCACGCCGCCGTGCGCCTCCTGTCCTGCAGCCCGCTCCCCCGGACGTCGCCTCCAGCTCACCTCCTCCTGCTCTCCAGAGCCGCTGTCACTCATTTCTTCCTGGTCCTGCGGAGGAGAGGGGAAACGGGGAACGTGGGCAGAGACGGGGGCCAGGCGGCCGAGTCCGTGAGCTGCTCCGTTCTGCTCCTGTCCCGCTTGGCGGCGTACTCCCCGCTCACCCTGAAGGCCATCCTCCAGCAGCTGGTGGAGGGAGCGCTGCACAGAGGGAACGCCCACCTGTTCGGGGGGCAGATTGCAGACATGTCCGGGGCTCCGATCTCCTCTCCGTCCGTCTCCCCTGACCTGGGGGCCTCCCTGCTGGACATCAACTGTCGGTTTGGAACCACCGTGAATTTTTCTGGCAGCATCTGGTCTGTGTTTCACGGAGGCGTGATCGGAAAGGGACTGAAGGTTCGCACAGACGCACAGCTGCTGGACCCATCAGTGGTCACCCAGGTGAGTTTATTAGAGCTTTACTCAACTAAACTGCTCCGGGGGCCATTGTTAGTGCAGAGGGGCCGAACATCCAGCAGTTAGTTTAGTTTAGTTTAGTTTAGTTTAGTTCAGTCATTCATTTTTATTAAAAAAAACACACAAATTCTATAAACAATAAAAATACAAATCATAAATGAAAGTTAGCAGAAGAAGAAAAAAAATCTTATCTGCCCATTTTCTCGAAAAAAATATCAAACAAAATAGTCTTCAAATAACAAAAAGTCATTATGTAATTAAACCAAGTATTACAAACTAGGGATGTCCCGATCAGATACTATCTATCGGTGGCAGATATGGCCACTTTTTGAAAATCAGGTACAATCGGATTTAGTCATGTGATCGGGCCGATCCAGTTTTCAGCATCATCATGATTTACAACTGTCGTAACTCAAGTAGCCATAACTCAACTGCCAGAAGTCAAGACGCACACAAGTATACAACCATGTCCACAGTGTGGGAACACTTCAATGGAAAACAATGATGCTGAAACTGCATCTTGCAAAATCTGCAAACTGGATGTTTCTCATGGTGGGAACAGCAGGGCTCGCTTTAATACTACCAACCTTGTCACTCAGAAAGAAATAAAGAAATAAAGCTATTGGATCGGTATCAGAAAGACTAATCGTAAAAAAAAATCGATTGTATCGGGAGCCAAAAAAACCTGGATCAGGACATCCCTATTACAGAGATCTGATACCTTTTGTAATGGTTTATTTTGCTGCATTTAATTATGAATACAACATACAGAACCCTATAAAAGAAGTGATAATAAAGCAAAAACAAAAATAACACATTCTGCCTCTTATTTAACAAATATTATTTTGAAATGTCTGACTTGCCAAATTTTTCAACCAATTTTATTTTCACTTTCACAGATTTAGCTTCAACTGCTTGTAGTTTTAACCGTCTTGAATGTTCATAGAAATGGTTTTTACCAGCTTGTAGCCAAGATTCTGACGTTTCTGTTAGGGTTGGGCAAAATCGAATCGTGTGCGATTTAATCGTCAGAAAAACATTAATCGATTATTTTTTGGCTCTTGACAATTAATACGATCAATGCCACCAGGTAGAGTGACTGGAGATTTCTCCAGTTAGTCCGCTTGGTGCTCCTCTCTGCTTCAAATATGACGAAATTTTTTTTTGGCAATTTTGACACAATTTGGAACAGATTATTACAAAGAATATTTCCCTCTAAATTGGTCATGTGACTAAGACATAAGGGTGTCCATGGACTCCAGGAGATTAATCGTCAAATAAATCATTATCGCCTAAAAACCACAATTAATTGTGATTTTTTTTTTTGCAATATTGCCCAACCCTAGTTTCTGTAGACACCAAACATGTCTGTGTTTAACTAAAAGAACTCAGAGTAATTAAAGTAGAAAACTGGGGGTTTGGGTTTAAGAGATGAATGAACCGATTGGCGGGCCGAGCTTTGGTGACTCGTGGGCTACATCCGGCCCGCGGGCCTCCAGTTGAATAGCCCTGTGTTAGAGGTTTTGTTGCTCAAATCGGAGAGGTGAGTTTGTGTTTTTACGTAGAAAACCCTGACCGTGTCGTCTCTTCTCTGCAGAACATTCAGACTCTGCTGGCCGTTATAGTCCAGTGTTGCAGCTCGTCCGGTCTCAACGCCTCCCGGTCACCGTCGGACCCCGACGACCCTTTGCCCATCAACGCCGAGGCAGCCAAAGTCGTTGCGGTCACCCTGGTGGAAAACGTGTGTCCGGACGTGGCCAACGGGGAGCTGTCCTGGCCCCCCGAGGAGCACGCGCGCACCACTGTGGAACGAGACATCCACATCAGACGGTGCTTCGAGGCCCACCCGGTGCTCTTCCCTCTGCTGCAGGTGGTGGCGGCCGGACGTCCGGCCCTCTGCTACTGCTCGGCCGCGCTCCGAGGTCTCCTGGCCACGCTCCTGGCCCACTGGGAGGCGTCGCGCGAGGCGGCGGCCACGGACTCCCCGTGGCACCTGCAGGCCTCGTGCCTCCTGGTGTGCTGCATGGGAGAGGGCCAGCTTCTGCCTCCCGTGCTGGCCAACGTCCACGAAGCTTTCCACCTCCTGACTCCCTTCGAGGTGAGGCTGCTGCTCCTGGCCGTGTGGGAGTACGTCAGGGGCAACGCGCCGCTCCCCCAGAAGTTCGCCTTCAGCTCCGAGAAGGGCCTGTTCTGCAGAGATTTTTCACGGGACGGTGACGTGGCGAGATACGTGGCACCGATACACAGCGTCCTCCATAAAAACATCGACAGACTGGGACACCTCTGCTGGCGGTTTCAGCTCTGAGATGCAGATCGTGAGGAATCAGCAAAGCCTCGAAAATGGAGAGAAAATCTCATGTTACTTTTAAATAAATGACAGCAGAACTCTTGTGTAGTTTTATAGTCGTGTTTGTTTAGATTTGTATTGTGTTTTCAGACTTTATACATTTCCAGGTAGTTTCTTTCCTGTGTGTTTAATTTTAAAGAAATGGCATGTTAATTATTTGTAAATACAGATCGACACAAAACAGGAGCCTAATGTTTCGTTTTGATTTAAAATTACAACTTCTCGGAAACTAATTTTTAGATTGTTTTGTTTGAATTTTCAGTTTGTTTGTGTTTTACAGTGTCTCTTGTTCTAAACCTGTTGGAACCACTTCCCAAAAAATAAATCTTCCTTTTTGTCCCAAACAGCCACTTGATTTGTAAAGCTTTGTTGGTGACAATACAGGCTCTCCTTACAGTTATAAACTGCTGGGACAGTATTTCCACGAGTACGAAGCACCGAAACATAACTTTAGATATACAAATATGTAAGCCACGCTACTGCTTTTTGCAGCTATTTTCTAAATGTGATCTAGCTGACATTTGCAGCTTTGTATGCTCAGGGAAAAGCAGAAATTAAGCTGCTGCAACCAGAAAAAATTGACAAAAGGCAATTACAGCAGCTAAGTTGATCTAACCTGAGGAGATTTTTTTGAAAACTTTATTCATTTTTAAAAAAATAAAATAAATTTATATACAATAAAAATACAAATAAAATGAAAGGCTTTAGAAAGAAGTAAAAATCTTATAGTATCTGTGCCTTTTTCCCTCCCAAAATTAATATTTTAAACAATAATCGACAAGAAAAACTTAAAAAAAACAATTTCAAATCATTGTCGAACAACAATTCGTATGAATACTAGGGCTGCCGCAATTAGTCGATTTCCTTTAAAGTTTAGGGGCCATGAGAACTAAAGTTATTTTAAAAAGTAAATTTAAATTTTAAAGCATTTTTTAGTCCATTTTCACTTTGAAAATGATAATGTAATTCTATTCAATAACTGCATTACAAAACTTTAAAATGAAATCTAATGTTTATAGATTACAAGATGGGGCTGATAAGACATGAAAACTGTTTTAAACAAATGTAATTTTGAAATAAAGTGATTTATAATAGAACAAAGTGTAAATATGTGACAGTTATAATCATGTATGACTGGTTTGTTGTGGCAGGTGGAACAAACCCCGGATGACTGTGCGTCCTTTCTGACTGGAGCTTGAAAAGATGACGTGTCCGTGCCTGACAGGCTATATTCATTCATAGGAAGTTCAAAGTTATTTTCCATTTATTATGAATTTGTCAATCGTGTAGCACGAAATAACGGAATAAAACTTGTGATTAATTTACAACACACACAAAATCTGTTACAACTAAGCGCAATTTTTTTTTCGTCGGTTGGTGAGGTTCTTACTTTTTAACGATCTTTGTTGCGGAGTGAAAGGGGCGGAGCCGGAGACGAGCGGCCAACAGCATAATCAAGATGGCCGCCTTCTCTGTAAGGTAAGACAAAAAAGCAGTTCCTCTCTTTTATCGTTAATTTATCATCGAATTAATTTGCGGCTCGTTCACGAGGGGTCACTAAATATAAATACGAAGTTCGCAATAAGTAAACAGGATTGGTATTTTGAGTTCTTAATTCCGCTTAGTAAAAAAAATAAGCTAAAGAAAAGTCGAGATTCCCCTTAAATTGAATTAGCGGCTCAGGCTGCTAGCAGGTTTAGCATAGTGGCATTGATTCAAGAGGTAATTATACTTAACACTGCTGCCATGCCAGTTTTATTTAAGTCATGTTTTATTACTAAAATAATAACAAGTGCCTGGTTTTAGACGAATTGTTGTGATTAAAACGGTTTAGCGCACGTTATGTGATGATGTGTTCGCCGACACGGTCTCTGCGCTGCAGCATAATCATTTCACATCCGTGGGATTATTAGGCACTCACGGAGATTACATTTTCAGTGTAGAGTTGGAGGCTAACATAAATAAGAGAGGCACACAGTGTATCTGCAGCAGGAAGATGATGGGGGAAATGATTTAGCCACATTAGAGGGCACGTTTTACCACTGCAGAGAGCTCAAAGTCCGGCTGAAGGTTTGTAGTTTAACTCTGGATCCCGTCGACCGCCTGCTATAGTTGCTTTAGGTTAGGATCCTCTTATGCAGCTGGGGCATTGCTTAACCCAGTCATAGTGTTTAGATTGCACTGTGATTGCATATTTTGGGGGGGTAAGATTAGTGCACTTTTAGGATGTTGTGTTGATTTGTTTGTTTGCAGGATGGTGCATGTCTTGGTGCTCTGGCTGGCTGTGTGCCTCAGTGGGACCTGGGCTGTGGACAAGGGCAACTTCAAGACTTGTGACCAGAGTTCTTTCTGCAAGTGAGTAAATAAAAGATAAAGCGGAGGACTTTGAAAGCAGACACATACACTCAAAAAAAGAAAAGGCAAAATTTGCAAACGATTTTATAACCGTGCCACTTCTAACTAGGCGTCAGCGAGCATTGAAGCCCGGCGAGTCCCCTTATCGAGTCCTGCTGGAGACCATGGAGCTGACAAACACCAGACTCACCCTGCAGCTCATTAATGACAACAACAAGGTGAATTTCAGGGCTGATAGCGACACTGACACGACTATTTCAAACTGGTCTTTGAAGTGAAGCGGTCTCTGTGTGGACATTCAGTGAGCACAGACTAAAAGCCTCTTGAAACCAAATCCCTTCTAACATTTATATAATGGGCTGGTGCAGGACTGTGTCAATAAGAACCTGAAGGTTGATTTGTGTAGTTGTAGAGACACACATGCAAAGAACAAAGGGTGGAAAAAAACAGCTAAATTTATTGAACTTTAATGGCATTTATCATCTTTGTATCATTTATTTTCACCATAAAAAGTTGGAAACTTGATAAAATGTTTCTAACCCTAACTTTTTGCAGTATAACATATTTTGTGTGTTTGTTTTGATAAATCGTGGATGGTTTTAGCACATTTAGTCTTTTTAGTGGATGAGATGTACCATAGTAAAACATCGATTTGTCGAGGTCAAAAAGGTTTTTTATTTTTATTTTATTTTTTTAACTGTTATTGAAGAACTGTCCAAATAACCAATTATGATGATTTGATTTGATTTGATTTTATTTTATTTTAGTTTAGTTTAGTTGGGGTTCAGGTTGTTTTCAGTCAAATTGTATGTTTAAGAGTCCTAAAATGCTTTCATATCATCATATCATATCAGATCATATCTCTTTTTCTTTCTGCTGTAGGTCTCCTTTTCCCTTTATGCTGCATGATGCAACATATGTGTGATTTTAGCTGTCAAGTCCCAAGAGGGCACACAGTGAACAGACCAAAAAAAGATAAACATTGAGGAAAAGCTAAAAAAAATAAAGGTTTTCAGATATTATTTTGTCTTTGCAGAATGAGAAGTAAAATATCTTGATTTTAAAGAGTTTTTGGTTTTCCTGTTTGCAAAGTACCGGTAGGTCTTTAAGCTCTAAACTGGTTAAACTTTCTGTATGTGGCAGGTTGAATTCTAGTAATTAAACAGTACTGTTCTTTATATATACAGTGTGTATGTGGTGTGGTAAATTTTAAAAATTGTTTCCAAAAAGCACCTGATTTAGCTTTTGTAGAAGAATCAAACTCAAATGCTTCTATTGCAATTTGTTAACTTGCCTCCAAATTTATCAACTTTTTTTTTAAATTTTAAATCTAAAAAAGGTGAAGTCCTGATGAATCTGGTCCCAGGTTGGAACCACGTACCGACGATGCAGAAAACTGTTACATAACTTCTCCTCCTCTCCCCTCACGTCTCGCTGGCTGTTCGTCTCTCAGGTGCGTCTGCTGCTCGAGCTCTACCGCCTCCAGGGAAACATAACGAGGGTGAAGATTAATGAGCTGAAGCCTCTGAAGCCTCGCTATGAAGTCCCAGACGTGCTCGTCAGGGAGCCACCTACAGAGCCGTGAGTGTCGCGCCTCTTTTTTTTGTTGTTACATTGCGACCAGGAAGAGGAAAATATTCTGCAGTTTGTTTAAATAATAATCATCAGTTATATTCAGTTTTTGTCCTCACTCTGGTTTTCTCTCTCTCTCTCTCTCTCCCTCAGCCTGTCTGTGCTGTCTCAGGATGAGAACGGGGTGGTGCTGTCTCTGGGGGCGGAGTCTCAAAGGGTCATCGTCAGCGCCCGGCCCTTCCGACTCGACATCATGGAGGGGCACAACGTGCTGATGTCGCTGAACTCGCGCGGCCTCTTGGCCTTTGAGCACCTGAGGATGCGCAAGGACACGTGAGAATCCACACATGCACACACACACACACACTATTTTAAACCACTTCCTCACTCAGTGGATGATTTTTGTTTTTGTTCCCATGAGATGTTTTATTATTGTTTTTATTTTCTTTTGAGTATTGTCTGACTCGTTCTGTCCTCTTCTTCCTATCATCCTAGTTTCTCCTATAAAGTAACTAGCACAGTGGCTAGCGTGTGGGATAATATCAAGAGGGTATTCTCTAGGTAAAGACCCTTAAGATTTGTGTGTATTCTGTTCCTTGTGCTTATATTGCAGATAACATAAAATATAGGGTTTCCCATCACTCCAAATTTGCTTTTGATCTCAAATAAATGTGACTGCGAGAGAGGGTGTGAGTGAGTGTACGCATGGAGTTTGATTTAGGATTACAATGATTACAGCCCAGTATGTTGACCATCAGACACAAACACTCAGAGATCTCTGATTATTAGGTAACTTGGTCTGGGAATGATCCTCATTCTTCTTTTGTTAAATCAGCATCTATCACTTTAATCATCCTCTCATATTGTCCCTCCAGCAGCTCATCCAATAATCAGATTCTCAGGCAGCTCTATTGAAGGAAAGCTTTATTTATTGTTAGGGCTAAAGGTTAGACAACTAAAATTTATTTAAGTTCTGAATTTGCACCAGTTTGAATTTGTTGTAGTCCCCCCACATGTAGTCTGAAGACACTTTCACAAAATACTTCCACAAAATGCAGTTTCTTTAAGCTGTCTCTGTTCATAAATCCCTAATCAAGCAAGTTTATGAAAGATGTGGGGCAGAACTCGGCTTTTTAGTTTTTAATATGTTTATTGGCTTTTCATTTGATGTAACAAAACTACATTTCAATCAATCATAAAATTTATTATTATTATTATTATTATTATTATTATTATTATTAACATAAAATTGAAACAAATCATCATTAATGAAAAAAAAGAACTTTGATGTTATATACTTAAGTGAGATAAAAATGTAATAAATGAGCTTTTGTTATCCCAATTAGCCAGATAATATTTTTTAGTAATAATTTGGCAATTAGCCAGGAAAGGTCTCCATATATTTTCTTCTTTACAATGCTTGTCCAAACAATTACGTTCCAGTTGTGTAATTGATACCATTTCTCTAAGCCAGTGTTGAAAACTTGGTGCTCGTCTGTTTTGACACGGAGCGCTGCGCGTTAAATGTGTGACAGATGTTTTCGTCATTTTTCTAAATAAATTAACTCTGTTTAGACATCCAGAAGTTGTCGACCTCTTCTGGATAGAATGGAACGGTCTTTATTATCATAAAAGAAAAAAATTGTATAGGTCTTCTGGACGGGTTCTTCTCTAATGAAACGTTTCGTCTCTCCTCCAAGAGACTTCTTCAGTCTGAGAGTTTCAGGCAAAATTCAGGCTTTTAAGCCCTGCCTCCATGTGACTGATACTCACATCACATGGCTATCGTTGACGCCTAATTAACACTTATTGTTAACAGGGGGTGGAGTGATACTGGCAATAGCCGCACTGTAGGAGGGGGACAACTGAAAACGGAGGCCTCCACCTCTGTTTAATGATGGACGGTCTTTCTTCACAAAAATGGCTTCTTTTACTCCTCTCTCAAACCAACGTTCCTCTCTATCAAGAATGAGACATCGGGAAACAAAGCAACCACTGTTCAAAAGAATGTCCCATCACAGACGAGCTACATCTAATGGCCAGAACTCTGCAGTTTTCACTCATTTACAGGCCAGCGGTCACTCTTTCAGAGATGAGGATGTTCTCAATTCGTTTGTTGTCATTTAGACTTTGTGAATTCTGATGGTAACACCAATCCTGAATCATCACCTTACTGAGCTGCAACGATGGCTTTCCTTTTCACACATCAGCTGTTCTATTATTACCCCACCTGGCTGCACAACGGTGCAACAACAGTGTGCTAGCTTCAACCCAAATATCCCATTTCCCTGTTCTTCTGTAAACCCCGCAGAGACGGTCGAAAAGCATCTTAATCTGTCTTGAAGTGTTTTGTGAAAGTGTCCTGTGTCCCCTCAGTGTATGCAGGCTCTGCAGCCCCTCCTAAACCCCACAGCAACATCTCTCTTTGTGGTTATAATTTAGTTTGCACTTTACATATATTATTGCTTAAGTCAGGGACATTTTACCCAGAATGCAGCACTTCCCCTGGTTCAGTCATCTCTGTGCACCTTCTGCAGCTGCTTGTAATGAATAGACTGTTGCAACCCTAGACTTGTGTGAAGGTTTTTGTATAATCCCAGTATTTGTTGGATCCTCAGGGTGATGGCTGGAGCCTCAGGGGCGTTACACGTTTTCAGTCCCTTGATGCTGAGCTCATTGTAGCCACAAGACGAGGAGTTGCTCAGTCCCTTTTGTCTTTAAAGCTGCTGTAGTTTTTGTTTTAGCCGTCAGTTTGAAGTCAGGGGACAGTCTCCAACCTCTCCCCTCTATGTCGTTTTACTTTAACCATAGTTTAGTTGTCTTCACACACATTGTCGTTTACCTCAGGATTGTTAGACTTCACCAAAGTGACACGACTTTCTGATGTTCCTCTCACTTTGACTCTGTTCTCGCCGAGCAGCCAGGCGGAGCCAGAAGCCGAGAAAAAAGATGAGGCGGATCCGGCAAACCAGGCCGAGGTACCGCAGGATACATTCTGTGCAGGGTTTTCTACATCTGAACGAGGTCAGTGTTGTTCGTAACGTGGCTGTTTTTGCTGTTTTGTCTGCCAGACTGCAAAAGAAGAGGAAGAGAAAGTAGAAGAGGGGATGTGGGAAGAAACATTTAAATCACACTCAGACAGCAAACCTAATGGTATGTCATGATGTAATACTTTTTATGATTAATCTAATATCCGTGTTTCGGTGTCTCGTTAAAAAGATGTTTAGTTTCAACTCTAAATTTCTTCTCACCGCTAACTTCTGATTGGCTGCTGTTCTTCAGGTCCATCTGCTGTTAGTTTAGACTTTTCATTGCCGGGGGTGGAGCACGTTTATGGCATCCCAGAACATGCGGAGCCCCTCAAACTTAAAACAACAGAGTAAGCATCCGTGTTCAGCAACGCTTCGCTCTGTGAGTTAGGATGTGTGACTCAGTTTTGCTCGTTTCAGAAGCGGGGATCCGTATCGGCTCTACAACCTGGACGTTTTCCAGTATGAGCTGTATAACCCCATGGCCTTGTACGGGGCTGTCCCCGTCATGTTGGCGCACAACACCAAACGGACTACAGGCATCTTCTGGCTCAACGCTGCAGAAACTTGGGTCGACATAAGTTCAAACACAGCAGGGAAGGTGCGGCTTCTTTCCACGCTGAAGCATTCTGCTCTTTGAGTCGAATGTTTCACATGTTGAACAAGTCCTCTTCTGTCTCTCCTTTCAGACTGTGTTTGGGAAAATGTTGGATTATGTTCAGGGTTCCAGTGAAACGCCACAGACGGATGTCCGTTGGATCTCTGAAAGTGGAATCATCGATGTTTTCCTTATGTTGGGACCAACTCCCAAAGACGTCTTTTCTCAGTACGCCTCTCTGACAGGTACAAGATCTGTTGTTTTTTTTTAATTCAAATTTTTATTAGAAATAACATGAAGAAAATTAGTTTCATATAATTACAGAAAGTAATACAATATTTTACAATTTTCCTTTCAGTTAGTTATATCAATCCATGTGCAACCCTTCATGTGATTATTAAATATCTGGAATTTAGTTTAATTTAATTTAATTAAATTTTTTAATATAAAGATGAAAAAAAAGAAAAAAAAATCGAAGCAATTTTTCAATACAAAAAAACCCCCAATATTTTGAACAGAAGAGTAGCTAAGGAGCAATGGGTGTCACTTCGTTTTCATTAGTTTCAGACAAGATCTGATT